TATGTAGACCAAAACACCATAGTTGATGGAATATAGAGCATCACAGCAGAGAGGAAACCACTGAATAATTAAAAGAGCTGCTACAAAAATGAAAAATGTACAACCGGTTTTATTTTCTTTCTGTTCGATTTTCTTCTCCAAAAAAAAATCAGACAGTGAACAAATTTGTGATACACTACTGCGAAACATTGTTAAAAACATACACAAATTATATCATTTGTAGAAATGTTGGGTCTAACGACTACTTTTTATGCGAAACAATAGCTTATAAACAAAACCCTATTTATAAGATGTTAACATACCGATAAAACCCAGCTATGCCATCCACTCTGTAAACTGCACGTACTACACGTAAACCTAGAGTAAGTCTCTTTTCCAAACCATCGTTTCTTATGGCACTTGCAACGGCGGATGCTTTTCTACTACCTTAAAGAGGCAGTTAGCATTGAAAGCGCATAACCGCACAGAGCAAAATTAGTAATATCTTTCCACTTGAACTGAACCTAGGAAAGCTAGTACTAGTAATTTTATATGCGAATACAAAAGGTCGCCTACTGAAAACTTATCGAAGTAAAGGCAGTTAGCAAAAGTTTTGAAGCAAACGCAGAGGAAATACTGAGAAAAGAACCGCATACCTCCGAAGGCTTCCGGATTATTCTGCACCATCATATGTTGAGCAACGATATCTGTCGGTACAAACACCAACTGAGCAGTTGGTGATGCAATACCTCCTGGAGGTCTTATATTAATTGTTCTACTGAATGATGACTTAAAAAAAGCAAGTAGAGACGTTGATCTCAAATCAAATCCAGAAATTAACCTGCTAAGGCAGACACAAGTGAAGGATTCGTGATCCCAACGTGAACTTGTATAAGATCTCGAACTCTTTCATAAGTTGACGAGTACAGAAACGAAGCTGATATTTGCGGGAGTGTCATCCAGAAGCCCTGAACAAATGGGGAGGTCTCCGCGTGAAAGGTAAATAAACGTGATTGTAATGATCAAATGTAAAGATAAAAACAGAATACGATGCTATGAAATGACCGAGAGCAGCTCGAAAGTTAGAGTTATGCTGAAATTAAACTTATCAAATGAAGAACACACCCTATATAGCGCTCCAACGCCTTCCACCTTGACAATTTCAGTGAACGCGTGCCGCATACCTCGGTACATGTTGTTTTGCTTTTGCAGTTGTAAACGACTTTTGACAACAGACCTGAAACTGATAAGAAGGTGCTGAGAGGAATGAAAGAAATGCATGACAAGAAAGTCACACAAAAAAGTGAAAATTCAAGGAAAAATGCAAGGAAAAGGTAAATAAAAATGCAGACATGAAACTTGTCTCGGATTTTACTGGAAGTTGCCGTTGAATCATAAATTTCTTAACGGATGACAGAATGGAATAATGAGAGATAAAATAGAAGTCGCGTCAAATGTCGCTGGGAATTGAGGCAAATAAGACCAAAGGAACGAAATTAAACGTACATCGGGTACAGGAAGCATCGTATCGACCATGAACTTGCAAGGGCAAGCGGATAGAAACGCCAAAGGTTAAGGTGCTCCCATTGAATCACAAGAAGCCGGTCCTGAATATTCTCATCATAGAATAGGGTAACACCTGCAAGTCCTATGCATCAGAAAAAAGATTCAGCAATGAATAAACTCACTCTAGACGTTAAATCGAAAACCTCAGACTCCTCCGATGACATCCCTCAGTTCTCCTACCGTACACCATACAAGTATATCGAGGCTTTATGCTGAGGGTGGAAAGCCAAATGCAGCTGAAGTTGCATTGGCAGCGATGCAGCGCTGCTGGTCCTATTTCGTGCTAATCACCAATTCTGAAGCATTTTCAGATATAATCTGGTTGAAGTAACTAGAAATCGATGTTTGCAACAAAGACAACTAGCGTAGGTAGCCATAAAAACTAAGGGCAGCACGTGCATTGACAAAGCGGTTCTTCCCATACAAAGCTAGCTGTGAAACTATTGGGTTGTCCGAAAAGTTTCAGCCGATTTTTGACACCCCGGATTTATCAACCGTTGTACAAATGATCAAGGACCCAACCTAATATTGTTACATGTTTTCTGAAAGAGTAGATCCTCCTCTATATTCCTGTTAGGATTCTGTCAAGATTTGTCGAAGTTTCTCTGTACAGGACTTGTATGGATATGGTGAACTAATGCGCGTAGTTTCGACATCTGAAGTATTTCTTCTACCGCAAGGCCTAGAATGCGGCTCAAGCCGCATGAAAGATATGTGACGTTTGAGTAGACCATGCCCTAGAGGAACGTACAGTGCATGACTAGTTGCGGAATCCAAACAGAGTGAATTGGCCCTCGAAGACCGGCAACCAATAGGGAGACTATCATCAGTTTAAACGATTAACTCAAAATGTTAACCGAAGCAAATCGGAACATCACTTCTCGTGGAGTAGGATAAGGGCTTAGTGTTTCAGAATTAACCA